TGTGCGGGGGGCAGCTGATCGATGTTTCTCTCTCATCAATGTTTCTAACTCTCTCTCTCCCTTCCTCTCTGTAAAAAATCAATAAAATATATTTAAAAAAAATAAAAACAAAAAAATGTACAGAGTTTTAGACTAAAATATCAAATTACAGATAAGGACAAGAAAATAACATTAGCATCAGGTAGAACAAGGCAATCCAGTGGAGCAACACTTATGCCAAGGCTTTTATATCCAGCCAAGATTTCCTCCATGCATCAGGCTATGAAAAACAGTTTTGAATGTGCAAGAATTCAGGAAATAATGTAAACACTGTCCTTCCTGAGAATACAAGGTGAGCTTCATCAAACAAAAGAGATAACTGGGAAAGCCAGCAAAGGGAATGATGGGAAGCATTTAATATATTTAATTGTAGAGTTAGGACGAAAACAAAGGTGGCACAAACAGTATGTAAATATTATATATTCTGACAAAGGGTGTAAGTGGAAGAAATGGCAGGGGAAAAGAGAAAGGAAGGGAAATTGGCACTTTAATCTTGGATTGTTCAAACCGTCCCTAGTGTTCCTACATGATTGGGCTTGGATGCTCCCAAAATCTCTTTCCAAGTACTTTGTGCCATCTTGACCTCAGCTTTTATCCCATGCTCTGGTCCAAAGTAGCCTATTACTTTGCACTCCTGGATGGATCTCATGTAGCACCAAGCCTTTTAGAGATCTCCCGTGGAGCCTTCTTCTCTCTCACTATAGGGAGAGCAGAGGAGCCTATGGATCCTCGTGGCAATGAAAGGACAAGTAGAGATGAGATGGAGGAACAAAGAGGGAGATGCTTGAAAGAGAGGAGGGAATGGCAGGTCCTTCTGAGTAAGTAAAGAAAAAAAGATCCCTGCATCCATAATTGTTGCAGTTATTTAATTAGCATATTATTAGGATGACAACTGTGCCTATTACAGGCTGAGGGCAGGATATGAGATTTTAAATGGCCAAACCTTGTTTGATCTGTATAATGCCTCTTCAGCAGACTTTCGATCACAGGCACCAGCATACCATGGCTTATAGTGAATGTCAGCTTCCTGCGAAAGAGAGGGAATTGTTAAGCAAGAGATGGTCCTTCAAAGACACCATACCTTCTGGGCATGAATAACAGTCACATTTTGCCTAACTACATGTGAACCAGTATTTGTCATGAGTTTATGCTTCCTTTGATCAATCACAGAGTTATATAATTGATCCCCCCCCCCCCATTTGGCCTTAGCTGCTAACCTTCGAAATTGAACATAAGGACTAAATCCTGCTAAATTCCTGAACTATTCATTCCTTTCTCCTAAATAAGTTATGATCTCCCTTTCTATTGTGATCTCACTATTTTTGCTTTGTGGAGTGCTTAACAATTTCAAAGTGTTCTCACAAATGTTATCTTATTTGATTCTTGCAACTACTTTGAAGGCAAGGAGGATAAATGCTGTCATCCCGATTTACATTTGAAAAAGCTTAGAGAGACTTGCCCAAGGACAGAGATTCCCTGCTCTCTTTACAGACTATGCTGCTTCAGTGTTTCAGTATCATATGCCTCCACAGATCTTTCTGAGAAAATTACACAGTTTCAGTAGAAACTATGTGAGAGGAAGAACAATAGAAGGCAACACATTTCTTTTCTAGTTTTGAAGAACCACAAATTGTTATTTAGGGTATCTAGAATACAAAATGGAACAGCTGGAGAAAGGTCTTAATAACGGGAAAAAATGTATTCTGTACCCATCAGTAAATGACAATTTAAAATACTCAAGCTTTACTCCAAACCCTCTCTTCTAAGAAGACATGCAGTTTACCGGTAACAATAAGAGTTCACTTCATACCTGTTCTGACACACTGGAATTAGAGGAAAAGCTGGGTAATGGGCCATCCACAGTTGGGCTACCCCCTTCTGGAAACCCTAAAAGGGGTTTGGAAAATCAATGGATCTCTGTTATTTCTTAAGCAGTTACTAAGCCCATACTTCAACACTATGGTGGTTGCTGCAGGGTACACACACACTGAAAAGTCACACACACACCCAAAAGCCTTAAGGGCAATGGTTCTCAAAGCATAGTCTGAGGCTGCAGGGAATCCCCAAGATCCTTTCAGGGGGTTTTCCATGTCTTTTTCAAATAAAAGCTCTGTGAAGCCCAGTTTTCTTCATATACTTCAACCAGAAAAGCATAGTGCAGTAGATTGAATATAGAGGCAGATAGGAAGTCCAGTTGTCTCTATTATTCCAGACATTAGAGAGAGATTTAAACACATGTAAAACAATGCCACTCTCTCCATGAATTGCTTTTGTTTGGAAGATATAGTTATTTTTCATAAAAATGTTATTTATGTTAACATGCAATGAGTTAAATGGATTACTAAATGTGTTTTAAATGTCTTTTAATGAATACATTCAATATCAATAGAAAGACATAAACTAAAGTTTTGGGGGTCTGATTTTAAGAGTGTTAAATGGTGCCAAGGCCAAAATATTTGAGAATTGCTGCCTTAGGCATAAATTCAGTCTAAGAGTGAAGACACATGAAATAGAGAAAATTCTTAGCTGGTGTTCATTCGTTTGTTCATTCATTCATTCATTCATGACTATGTGCATGATCAAGGCATTGGAATTATACAAGTCAACAAAGCAGCAAAATGCCCTGCCCTCCTGGAGCTTAGTCATAAGTGCTATGGAGAAAAATAAGCAGAGAAGGGGGTTGGAGGAAGCCTCTGACAAATAGTATGTTTAAATATGCTGGTCAGGGGAGGAAGGCCTCACCGAGGTGACACTTGGGTAAGATCTGCAAATGGAGAGGGAGGAGGCATGTCCTATCCCAGGAAAGAATGTTTTAGGCAGAAGGAGCAGTAAGTGCAAGGCCTGGCATGTGTGAGGAAGAGAGAGGTGGCACTGTGCCCAGAGTGCAGTGAGGAAAGGAGAGAGCAATGAGGTAAAGTCAGGCAGGAGGTGATAAAGGAACCAGGTTTGTGGGACCTGGTGGACCCCTGACATGACTTGAGCGTTCACAAGCATGGTATGGGAAGCTTTTGGAGGTTTTTGAACGGAGCAGTAATGGGATCTGCTTGTCTTTGAACAAGATCA